AAACTATATAGACATAAAAGAAGAACTAATTCAAGCATTTTTCCCCTGTTTTGATGCACTTCATTCAAAACCATGAAGTTGGGGTGAGACATAATGAATAGGCTTTTTCATTTTTTAAGTAGCTAATAACTTTTAGTTTACATTTGCATTCTGTTGATAATTATGTTTATTAATGAGGAGGTAAATTATAAGTTTAGACTATTTTAGTGGATAAATGTTAGAGATATCATAGTTTTATAGTTTTTATTAATATTTCGAATTAGTTTTTATTTTTATATTTTCTGTTTTTGTTTTAATTTTAGTTTGTTTTAGTAATTTAGTTGTGTTTTTCATTTAAATTTTGTATGTTTTTGTCTATATAGTTTTTCTTCATTTGTATTTCTATTTTAGTACATCAGGGATAAGTAAATGAAAACGAAAATCAGATCAATGCCCTTTAAAAAAACAAACAAAATTCATGTTTACTGTATATATTAGCTACATTGTATGGGAGTTATTATGCTTATAAACACATCTTCTGTTTTCTGTTGCATTTACCTGTTGTTAACTCTAGAATGTGTGCTGTGTGAACGGCCCCTGAGTTTATAGCTTCAATTTTTGGAGAACAGTACATTAGATATCAGGGATATTATCATAAAATCTCAAATTATTTAAAACAGATTTCGTTAACATAAATAAAGCTGAAATAAAATCTAAATATTACATTTTGCCTAACTGAAATAAGTTTAAGCACTAAAATTATTAACTGGAAATACATAAACTAAAAATGCAATAAAATGAAATAAATAAAACTAGTGAAATTAAATAATGAAAAGGAACATAATAAAAATGATTCAGATTAATATGAAAAATTTGCATTGCTAGAACTAGCATTGCTATATGACGGACATAAACGAAAAGCAACAAAAGCAAAATTTAGATAGTTCACCTTCATGCAGTTTGTATGTCTTTCAATCCTCTGTGGAACACAAAAGGGGAAAAAAAAGTTTTTATTAATTGAAAGAAAATTAACTGAAATAATATATAAAATTTATGCTTGTTTCCAAGAACAAAAATATATATATATAGTTAGTTTAATGTGATGTACTAAAGTAAAACTGAAATAAAAACTATATAGACAAAAAACTAAAAACAACTAATACAAATGACAAAAAAAAAACGGAAAACATAATTCAAACTAATTCAAATAATTATCGAAAACTAGTATAGTATGTCAGTGATACTAAAATAACACTACTTGACAGCCTCAGAAACAAGTGGGTGAGACATTCACCAAAATATTCACCAAAAATTCAAAATGACATATGGATAAATAATTTAAAAATTGAATGATTTGAGATTTTCCTTTCTTGCAGAGGTATGTCCTCAGGTGTATGAATAAACAAGAAAACCAAGCACTTACTTCTCGTTACATCACTTCGTTGCCTCAGAAAAGATCCTAATATAACGTGTTTGTCTTATTGTCTGCTGCAGAAATCGACATTACGTGCTGGGATACAGACCCCGTGATGGAAGATGATGATTAGGAGCGACTGAGGGGAAAAGAGGCGACACCTCTATGAAAACTTATTTTACAACAGTTACAGAAGTCTTGCATCAAAATGTTTTAGATAAAAAAAACAACAACAAAAACAACATTAGCCACAGAAGAAAAGGACTCGGGTTATTGTTAAAGATGCCAGTGGGTATGAGCGCTCTCGGTTCGTGTACGTATGTGTGCGTTAGTGTGTTTATTATTTATTTCGATCTTTTTTTTTTTCTATGCAGAGTATAGCACAGTGTGTCTCTAGCGCTCACCTGTGTTGTATCAATCCCGTGCCTAACAGGTGTGTGTAGTAGCAGATTAGACCGTTCTGGTTTAGTTTCTATCTCCTTTAGCAACACTGAGCTTAGGTCTGCCCAGTGGTTCAATCAAGTTCCCTACAGTCTTAGTTGTTTGAGTGTTATGCCCACATGGGCCTTTGCTTTGATGACTCAATTGGTCAGGGACGGTCGAACCCTTACCTTCGTCGAAGCAAAGGCATGTCAGAACTCGATTTTAGCTTCAGTTGCATCAATTGTATTTAGCAAACGGAAAATGCCGGGGGTTTATGTGATTACGAAACAATTTTATGTTGTGCCAATTATTTTGAGTATGACGTGTTGGTGTAACGGCCTTTTAGGACTTTAGCGCCAGGTGGCATATGTATATTTTGACTACATATGAGACAATGTGTATAAACAATGGCTGAAACTGACTTTTTTTTTTTTTTGGAAAAACTGCAATAGAGCTTCGATTTGTTGAGAAATTTAGGCAATAACAGTCGTAGTGGACTCCATTGGGAATTGTTTTAGTTAGATATTCGGTAGTGTGCGTGTTTGTATTATTATTAGAAAGGCTCAGGCCTGAAACATAATCTACGTAAGTATGCAAATGCTGACGCGAATATACAAGTGTGTAGTCCCGCTGTATATCTCTGGCATGCAACCTTACTGTGGTAACGTTAAAAAAATGAAAATGTTGTCATTCTGTTGTGCAGAATAAAGTAAGTCGTACAGTTTTTGGAACAGCATGAGGGTGAATAAATGACAGAATGTTTATTTTTGAGTGAACTAAACCTGTAAGAAGCCAAAATATTTACTTTCAAATCGCTAACATTCAAATATCTAGCTATAAACGTGTAGCTTACCAGGATTGAAACTGTCACTCCATTATGACAGTAGTTAACGTATTATGGTCGTTTTTGTCTTACAAAAGTCGGTTTACGCTAATGCTAGCTATAGCACCCCGGAAAACATAATTCAAACTAATTCAAATAATTATCGAAAACTAGTATAGTATGTCAGTGATACTAAAATAACACTACTTGACAGCCTCAGAAACAAGTGGGTGAGACATTCACCAAAATATTCACCAAAAATTCAAAATGACATATGGATAAATAATTAAAAAATTGAATGATTTGAGATTTTCCTTTCTTGCAGAGGTATGTCCTCAGGTGTATGAATAAACAAGAAAACCAAGCACTTACTTCTCGTTACATCACTTCGTTGCCTCAGAAAAGATCCTAATATAACGTGTTTGTCTTATTGTCTGCTGCAGAAATCGACATTACGTGCTGGGATACAGACCCCGTGATGGAAGATGATGATTAGGAGCGACTGAGGGGAAAAGAGGCGACACCTCTATGAAAACTTATTTTACAACAGTTACAGAAGTCTTGCATCAAAATGTTTTAGATAAAAAAAACAACAACAAAAACAACATTAGCCACAGAAGAAAAGGACTCGGGTTATTGTTAAAGATGCCAGTGGGTATGAGCGCTCTCGGTTCGTGTACGTATGTGTGCGTTAGTGTGTTTATTATTTATTTCGATCTTTTTTTTTTTCTATGCAGAGTATAGCACAGTGTGTCTCTAGCGCTCACCTGTGTTGTATCAATCCCGTGCCTAACAGGTGTGTGTAGTAGCAGATTAGACCGTTCTGGTTTAGTTTCTATCTCCTTTAGCAACACTGAGCTTAGGTCTGCCCAGTGGTTCAATCAAGTTCCCTACAGTCTTAGTTGTTTGAGTGTTATGCCCACATGGGCCTTTGCTTTGATGACTCAATTGGTCAGGGACGGTCGAACCCTTACCTTCGTCGAAGCAAAGGCATGTCAGAACTCGGTTTTAGCTTCAGTTGCATCAATTGTATTTAGCAAACGGAAAATGCCGGGGGTTTATGTGATTACGAAACAATTTTATGTTGTGCCAATTATTTTGAGTATGACGTGTTGGTGTAACGGCCTTTTAGGACTTTAGCGCCAGGTGGCATATGTATATTTTGACTACATATGAGACAATGTGTATAAACAATGGCTGAAACTGACTTTTTTTTTTTTTTGGAAAAACTGCAATAGAGCTTCGATTTGTTGAGAAATTTAGGCAATAACAGTCGTAGTGGACTCCATTGGGAATTGTTTTAGTTAGATATTCGGTAGTGTGCGTGTTTGTATTATTATTAGAAAGGCTCAGGCCTGAAACATACTCTACGTAAGTATGCAAATGCTGACGCGAATATACAAGTGTGTAGTCCCGCTGTATATCTCTGGCATGCAACCTTACTGTGGTAACGTTAGTTTAAAAAAATGAAAATGTTGTCATTCTGTTGTGCAGAATAAAGTAAGTCGTACAGTTTTTGGAACAGCATGAGGGTGAATAAATGACAGAATGTTTATTTTTGAGTGAACTAAACCTGTAAGAAGCCAAAATATTTACTTTCAAATCGCTAACATTCAAATATCTAGCTATAAACGTGTAGCTTACCAGGATTGAAACTGTCACTCCATTATGACAGTAGTTAACATATTATGGTCGTTTTTGTCTTACAAAAGTCGGTTTACGCTAATGCTAGCTATAGCACCCCATGAGGCAGTGCTGAGAATGCTGTGCTTAGCGTTCATTGCATCATTTAAATGGGTCCTATTATGCTTTTTGACTTTTTCAACTTTAGTTAGTCTGTAATGTTGCTGTTTGAGCATAAAAAAGATCTGCGAAGTTACAAAGCTCAAAGTCCAATTCAAAAGGAGATATTTTATTTGACAGAAATCACTTTTTAAAAACTACAACGAACGACTCGTTTGGACTACAACGCATATTTTCCGGGATTTGTGATATCACAAATAGCGACGAATGGGATAAGACCTGGTTGAGCTGGACTAGAGAAGGCTGTTCTACTATCACTATGTCGGAGACACGCTAGCTTTCCCAAGACAGACGAACTTAGAGTGATTACAATCATCCGGGTTTAAATCGTGCTCAAATTTATTTGATATTGACGCAATATTTACACTGAAGCTCTATGGTAAGAAGCATGACATTTCCCGACCAGGCGCCGAGTGCTGCCAATCAGAACACACACTGGCCCAGCTAACCAATCACAGCACATTTCGTATTTCAGAAGCCTTCATTTGATACAGGAACTGTTCGAGCCGTTCATGCCAGACTGGTGAGAGAGTGTTGTAATAATGTAAAATATGTGAAAAATAATGTGTTTTTCGAACAACCTAGTATGAGAGCCTGTTCTAGTACACCCCCAAAACAAAATCAAGATTTTGTAAAAGAGCATAATAGGACCCCTTTAGCACATTTTAGCAAGCTGCGACGAGTGAAATCAAAGTATTTGCATTTATTTTCTTGCGTAGAGTATGGTTTCGACCTTTTTTTTTTTTTTTTTTGTAGACGTGATTTTGAACCTTTTATATTCGTTTTATGCTCCAAGGGAAGGAAACTCCTTATAATCTCAGATTTCAAGCCACGGTAACTATTGAAATATAATATTAATATGCTTATAAGCTTATTTTTAGGTTGCTGCTAGTTAACCCAGGACTTTCTTCAGAGTAATGTGACCTTAGCAAGTCCAGCAATTTGTAAAGACATTTTTTTATGAACCGAAAATTACTACAACCCTTTAAACAAAATTTGGATTTGTAACTGACTTTTACACAAAGACAAATGCAGGGACATGTCGCCTTGCTCAAGGGCAGAACGGTGAGAGATTATCTCACTTATTCAACACTGACTCAACCTGTAATCTTTGTTGTACCAGCCCACATCCTTACCTGCTAAGGTCCCGGCCTTGACTGACCACTGTCTTCCTCATACTTTTAGTCAAGTTGTAAAGCGGCATCATAACATCTTGGTTTTACAAAGGATTTTTGGAGTGGAAAAGCAAGCAATAAGACTAAACCAATAGTATTGTTCTGTAAATAGCTCTAATTTTGTGCACATGTAAAATGTACTACAATCACTAACATGTATTGATTCACCACCCATGAAAAACGGGGGTTGGCGTATGTTTGGATTGGGTTTCTTATGTGTCTTTGGTGAGAGAGAAAGAGGTCGCTCAGTATGAAACCAAATAGGAAGTAACCCGCATCTTTAACAGTAACTTAGCCCCTTTTGAAATAACTTCCATGTATTCCTGTTCACCCTCCTACCTCCTTAGTAGTGATTATTACTCTCTTTCTCCCTCAAACTACTAGGAGACTACTACTACTACCACTACTATTATTACTATTACTACTGCTGTTCTACTACAGTAATTTCTTCTTTGCCCCTGAAGCAAGGCTTAGCGACTCCTGAAAATTCTTTTTTAATTCTTTTTTTCTATCTCTTCCTTTCTCCGTCCGCTTCTCACACGCTGTTTTTGAAACAAGCACAAGATCTTTTGTGACATGCTATGTGCTTATGTATGTTAATAAAAGACTATAAAATCCTTCCGAAAATTGTGTACGTTTTTTTTATCTGCAACAAAACAGAGACGGAAATGTTGAAACGCTGTAATAACTTCAGACTTTGTACCTCAGTTTTATTAATCAGATATCAGGCATTCACTGGCCCTGTTTGTGTATTGTGTATATTTTTAGTAAACAAACCAAAATTACTCATATGAGCATGGAAATACTGTACATAGCAGCTATGAAATAGTACAGCTCCGACTATAGCGTGGCCATACACACAAGCACACTTTGCATGCTACATGAACATTGCATGAAACACTTTCACAG